TACTCTGTCTCATGTCTCCCAACTTGTAAATGCAGTTGCTGACATTGCATCTGTCAGTAGATGCCTAACCGGCAGCTCAGCTCTGCCTGTGCAGGATCAAACTCTGGACTCCCTACTTCCCCCCGGCCTGCCCCTCTGAGACAAGAGGAACAGCATCAACCCCGCTACCCTCCCTAGTGCCCCTCTTTCCCTTGCCCACCACATCCAGGCCATCAGTAGCCACAAGTCCTGTTGTTCATTCTCAAAACCTCTGTCTGGTTCTCGGGCTGGCCCAGTGCCCACAGTGTGCACACGCGCTGCAGACGGTAGTAGGGGTGGTGGGGCGGGGCGCTGAACTGGAATGGCCCGCTGCGCGCCGGCGCCATGACCAGGCGTGTTCTCTCCTCTCCTCCTGGCTTCCCCTCCCCGTCGGCACACCTGCCCGCCTCCGCATGGCAGAAGTCCTCCAGCTCTGCATCCTCGGAGGCCTCGGAGACCTGCCAGTCTGTTAGCGAGTGCAGCTCGCCCACCTCGGTCAGTGTTTCCCGCCTGCAGTGGGAGGCAGGGAGGGTCTGGGGTCTCCCAGAGGAAGCTGTGCTCAGTGCCTGCTCCCTGCAGGAAAAACTGCCTGGGCATACCTGCAGCCACTCCCAACACACCTCTTTCCCTCCTGGGTATGGCATCCTCCCCGTAGGCCCTGCGGGACCGAGGGGTCATGGCGCCCTCCACGGTCTTGATCATGACCATGATCTTGAGCCTGAGACCCCATATGGGCTTGAAAACCCTGTATCTCCACTATAGCGAGAGGACCCTCAGCCGTGGATGGCAGGGCCAAGGGTCCCCTGACCCATCTGCCACATCCTGCAGGACTGGGCCAAAGCAGGCCCCCATGAGCAGGCCTCAGGCACCAGCCTGCAGAGGAGGAAAGACCGAGTGGACCACCCCCGGGACACAGAGCCAGGCCTGGCCAGCGGGGGCACCCTGGGCCCCAGTGGAGAGGAGGCACCAAGACCCCGCATGTCCCCTGCCACGATCGCAGCCAAGGTAGGCACCAGCTCTCCTGGCAGCCTAGCCAGGGTCCCCCTTCACTCCCAGGTCAGTGCCCGGAGGCCCAGCAGCTGGTCTCAGGGCCAGCTCTGTCCACCTGGCTGGAGCCACCTGGAGTCCAACCCAAGGGGGGGCCGTGGGGATCCAGGCCTCAGCCTGCAGTCTTACCACCCCCAGCACGGTGAGGAGGTTTCCCCTGCGGCCAGTGACCTGGCCATGGTCCTGACCCGCGGCCTGAGCCTGGAGCATCAGAAGAGCAGCCGGGACTCGCTGCAGTATTCCAGTGGCTACAGCACGCAGACCACCACACCGTCCTGCTCTGAGGATACCATCCCCTCCCAAGGTAGGCCCCAGGGCTGGGGCTGGGACAGCGGGCCTTCCCAGTCCCAGGCCCCAGCCCACGGCATCCCGTGCCCCCAGGCTCCGACTACGACTGCTACTCGGTGAACGGAGACGCGGATGGCGAGGGCCCGGCCGAGTTCGACAAGTCATCCACCATCCCCCGCAATAGCAACATCGCCCAGAACTACCGCCGCCTGATCCAGACCAAGCGCCCGGCCTCCACTGCGGGGCTGCCCAGCGCCTCAGGCGCGCCCCCCGGCGTGGCCACCATCCGCCGCACGCCCTCCACCAAGCCCGCCGTGCGCCGCGCGCTCTCCAGCGCCGGCCCCATCCCCATCCGGCCGCCCATCGTCCCTGTGAAGACGCCCACGGTGCCCGACTCCCCCGGCTATGCGGGGCCCACGCGGGCAGGCAGCGAGGAGTGCGTCTTCTACAGCGACGAGGCTGCCTCACCCCTGGCGCCGGACCTGGCCAAAGCCTCCCCGAAGAGGTTGAGCCTGCCCAACACCGCCTGGGCCAGCCCAGCCCCCGAGGCAGCCAGCTACCCCGGGCTGGCGGATGACGACGAGCAGCAGCAGCTGGCCGCCAACCGTCACAGCCTGGTGGAGAAGCTCGGGGAGCTGGTGGCAGGCGCCCATGCGCTGGGCGAGGGCCAGTTCCCCTTCCCAACGGCCCTGACCGCCACCCCTGCTGAGGAGACGCCCAGCCCGCCCCCAGCCACCTCCGGCGACCCGCCAGCCGAAGACATGCTGGTGGCCATCCGGCGGGGGGTGCGGCTCCGCAGGACCGTCACCAACGACAGGTCGGCGCCCCGCATCTTGTGATGGTCGCAGCCCCCCCGCCCTCTGGCCCCCCGAGAGGCAGGTGGCCCCGCTGGTGAACAGCAGCTGCTCAGAGCAAAGGCAACAGTGGGGGAAGAGCAGAGCCAGGCAAGCTTTTGGTTTTTCGTTTTTTTAAGTCATGCGAGGAAAAGCCACTTGATGGAAAGAGACACTCATGTTGGATTTCCACATTTAAACAGGAAGGGACTTCTTTAACAGAGCTCGCCAGCTCCGAGCCTGCAGGCCTTGAACTGGATGCGGAGCCTGTTTTATACGTTTCTCACCCGCTCTGCCCCTCCTCTTCCTCTTCCACAGGCCCTGCCTTTTCCACATCTCCGAGAGCTGTGGCCTGGGCTGCAGTGCCACAGCTTAGCCGACCTGACCCCGCTTCTCCCCTCGGTCGGCGGTGCCTGGGGCCTCTCCTGAATGCTGGCCCGCACTGCCCTCGCCCAGGCCCCTCTCCTTCCTTCTCCCTTCTCTGCACCTGCCCCAGGCTCCTCTCAATCAGGGAGGCGGGCTGGCTGTGGAGGGGCCGGGTGCCCAGTCGGCTCTGGTGTTAGATTTGACTGAAAAGCTCCAGAGAGCGGCAGTGGGGGAGCACACTGAAGTTGGGAAGCCCAGCCTGCGGGGGAGGAGGGAGCCCCAGGGGCCCAGGGCCCCAAGTTGAGTCTTGGGGACCTGCCCGGAGGACGCTGTGGGCCCTGAGGTGACTTACTGTCCTAGCTTGCCCTCCTCTGGGCGGTGCGGCCAGGGTAGAGGGCCAGGGCAGCAGGGAAGGCGTCCCACGGCCTGAGGGTCAGATGTGTGGTCCTCATCTGGACACGTTGAGACTTTTAAGTCTGGTGGCACTTTGGTCATGGTTTCGGCCACCTTTGGGGGTAGGGGCTGGAGCTACACAGGGTGTGGGGGGTTATTTTATGAATATAATAATAAAATAGAGCTGACTGGACAAGGACTGTGTGTGGGGACAGGGTGGACGGTACAGGGTGTCCGAGAGTGCCTGAGGGACAGGGGTCCTCGCAGTGGCCTGGCAGGCCCATGGCAGAAGGAGGGCCCAAGTAGCTTCCCCAACGCCAGGGGGCAGCTGTTTTTTCCTCCAGATTTTGGAGCAAAGCCAAAATAAGGTTGGAGAGGGCCCGGGTGGGGCCTCCAGCCCATCTGCTTGGATGGGGGCAGGGGCGGTCCGGGGACATTGGCTTTGACTCTCTGTTCCCAGAGGAGATGCCATCCCGGTGCAGTGCCCCTCCCTTCCACCCGGAGTCCAGCCCGTGCTGGTGGTGGGCGCGGGGTGGGGGTGCCCTCCCCTGCACGTACCGAGGTGCGCCAAATCTAAGCAGGTAGAAGCAGGTGCGTCTGGGGCGAGCGGAGGGCTTCCTGTTGTCTCGCAGGCCAGCGGAGAGCGCGACCAGGCTCAGAGGGCAGTGGGACCACAGGGCAGGGGCCTCCCACGGTCAGGAGAGCAGGCTTTTCCTGGTCGGGGTGGGATGGGGTTGGTGGGGTCTGAGTCTCAGCGCCAGGCTCGAGCTCCTGGCAGTTCTTTTGCAGGGAACTGGGGTCCAAGCAAGGCGGCTGGGCAGCTCTGGGGAACCAAGGATGCCCCTGAGTGGATGGAGCTCCCCAGGTTCCCCAAAGGGAGACAGAGAATGGTATCTGTAAGTCGCTAGGTCTGAGAACAGCCTCGCTGAATGCTCAGGCCAACCCGAGAGCCCAGGTGTGGGCACCTGGAGAGAGAGTCCAGGCAAGGGAGGGCCTGAAGAGGCCGGGAGAGCAGGTGGCCAGTTTGGGAAGCCCCAGGGAGGGGTTTACCCAAGTGGGCTGAGGGAGTAAGATGCAGGATGTGGGATGTGAGCAGGGTAAGGAGTGGTGGGGTGGGGAGGGTGGCTTGGGAGGCCCAAGGAGGGGGTGGGCATAGCACAGCCACCCTCCCAGACCGTGCCCCCTCTCCTCCAAGCCACCCCAGGGCTGTACATAACTCCTCCATCCCCTTGACCACCTCTCTCCCATTTAGTGACCACCTCTTAGGCCCACCCCCTTGGGATCCGAGCCAACCATCCCATATCACAAACTTTGGTTTGGGGGACTTCTTTACGTTTGTTTTTTTTGTTTGTTTCTGGTTTTTTTTTTTTTCCTCCATTTTGTACAGAGAAATATTCTTTTCAAAAGCGTCTTTTGACTGAAGTAACTTTTCTGGTGCTGTTGTTAACTTGTTCCTTTTTTTAATTTATTTCCCCACCCAAGTCTCCCTTCCTGGTTCCTACTCACCCTTTCTTTCCTCCACCCCCACCCCCACTCCCCATCTGAACCATTTTGTTTCTTTTCTTTCTGTCCGTTCTGGATAAATTATCCTCCTCTCCCTGCCCCCTCCCCACCGACCCTCCCCTTGATTTAAATAGTCACTGCTACAAGTAACAAATGCACTGTGAAGATTCCAGTATTAATAAAGTTGTACTGTAATTAACACCCCTGCCTCCGCCTGGCTTCCTCCACCCTGTGCAGCCCTGGCACCCCCACCCTTTCCCAGCCCAGATCCCAGCCCAGGGGCAGGGGCGGGAGGGGCCAGGTCCTGGATCAGGACCTGTGCCTTTGAATACCTCCACTCTGTTCCTGCGGGCAGCTACCTTGGGACAGCCTGATGGAGCCTGGGAGGGTGGCCGGGAGGCACTGAGAAGGATGAGGCTGACATCCTCTGCCACATCCATCTCGCTGAGATTCTGGCAGGTCTGGAAGAAACTCACTCCCTCAAACGCCATTTCCAGGCCCCCAGGCTAAGGCTTCATCCATTCCAAATCCAAATCTTCAGACCCAGGTCCCAGGGCTGGACTAGCTCCCCTCTCTCCCGCCTCCAGCACTTGGGGTTTACCTTTGCAGATGCAAACTGAACCACAAACCGAAACAAAACAAGCAAGTGTTTAATAGAAAATATAAGAGGGACTGGAAGAGCATCCACTGTGGCAAGATGTGGTGTCTGGCTCGGCCCCGTCCCCATGCTCACCCACCCCCCACACCTGGCCCAAGTCTTGCCTCTTCAGGCCTCAGGAGACGCCAGGCACCACCTTCAGGCAGGCGAGGCAGCCCAGGTGGTGCAGGGAAGGGACGAGCTCTGTCCACTGTCAGGGGCTGCTGGGCCCCCGCCGCTCCAGGTGAGGCCATGAGGTACAGAATGCAGGAAGCTGAGCCCTTCTCAGGCACAGAATCTCCCCTCAAAGGAAAAACCTGGGGGGGTCCCCCCACGGCCCTCCAGACAAGTCTCAGGCTCCACCAAACTCCTGCGAGAGCACCTCCAGCTGCCCCACACAGGTCACCACACAGGCCACTCGGGGCAGGAGGCCTCTACCCTGTGCCCTCAGCAGCCTCACTGAGCCGGGGGTCCAGTGTTGGGTCCTGGGGAGCGGGGCAGGGAGATGAGGGGCTGCTGGGGCAGAGGGTACAGCTGGGCAGCTACACACTGCGATGAGGGCTCCGGGCTGTGGGACTGAGGGCTCGGCACCTCACAGTCCTGCCAATTTAGGACGGAACTTTGTTTACCTGCAGGGAACAGTGGGGGTGGGGGGGAAAAGCGCAGGAGTGGTCAACACCTACCTCGGCTCCAGACCAAGCCTCACTGTTCTTGGCCCCGGGGCCCATCCTGGCTTTCAGAAACGTCCTACAGCCCTGGGGAGTGGAGGGCGTGCCCGAGAGGGTCCCGGCTCGGCTCAGAGACCTGGGCTCAGAAGCCCGGCGTCCTGCCCCCAGCCCCTTCCACTCGGAGCTCCTTACAGCAAGAGCAGTACAGCAGTTCCATGACCCGAAAGCAGTTGTCCAGCAGGGCTTTGGGTCGCACCAACTTCCGGCTCAGGCTGGGGGCGCTCAGGAGCGACACCACCGCTTCCACCTTGGGGCTGACCTCCGAGTCCTGGAAGGCGGGAGACCCGTGGAGACAGTCAGGACCACAGGCACCACCACCCCCAACACTAGTGAAGACGCAGGGCCACGTCCAGGAGAACCCTGGAGGTTGCCCCACCGGGAGCTGCACGAACCTCAGAGAAAGGGACTTCCTGTTGACAGGAGGCTAATGGGGAATTTCTCTCCCTCTTCCTGCAGGTGCCAGGTTTCCTGGGAGGGTCCCCCTCGACGCCCCTCACCCAAGCCAGACACAGAGGTTCCTGTTTTCCATCTTTGGGAAAATGATTGCGGGGGGGCATCCTCGCCGTGCTTGCCCAGCCCCGGCCAACACCACACAACCTGGGCTGGGAAGACTGTCCTCAGGATTCAGAGACCTACTCTGTCCTCAATGAAGGAGACAAAGGACCCTCATGAAGGTCGTGTCATGAGGATGCCTGGGTGCAAGGCACACGGGCTGGGCAGGTCTCCGGCTCCAAGCTCAGGTGCCTCTCTGACAGTATTTAACAACAGCCAGCATGGTGTGGGGGGCAGGAGGGCACAGTGGGGGGACCAAGCCGGGGGCCAAGGCTGTTGCAGAAGACATTGAGTAGAAAGGAAATGTGGGGCCTGAGCTGGAGGAGGGCCTTCCTAAAGGTGGTGTATTGAGTCGAATTGTACTGGGTTGTGACCAGCCAATCCCCACCCCCCCAAAAAAAGCCATGTCCAATTCCTAACCCCTGGTACCTGTGAATGTGACCCTATTTGTAAAGAGGATCTTTGCAGATGGAATTAAGGATCTCCAGGTGAGATCATTTTGAATTTAGGGTGGGCCCTAATGCCTGGCTTCCCTGTGAGAGAAAGGACACACGGCACAGAGGGAAAGGCCATGTGAGGGCCGAGGCAGAGGTTGGAGTCATGTGACCACAAGCCAACAGCAGTAGCAGCCAGCATCAGCTGGAGGAGGCAGGAAGGTCCTATTTCCCTAGAACCTTCGGAGAGAGCATGGCCGTGCAGGTACCCTGAGTGCAGAGCTCCTGTCTGCAAGCCTGTGGCAGAAGAACTTCTGTAGTTTCACACCACCAGCTAGTGGTCATTTGCCACAGAAACCCTAAAAAGCTAATCTACAAGGACTTGGAAAGAGAAGCAAGGGTGACAGGAGGGAGAAGGGACCTTTCCCCACGGCCCAGCAGGGATAGCCCACTGCCTACCAGATGCTGGGCACATTTGGAATGGGTCATAAACAGTTAACTCTGTGATAAAGAAGAGGCTGGTTAAATCAGGGGCCCCTGGGTGACTCGGTCAGTTGAGTGTCTGACTCTTGATTTTGGCTCAGGTCATGATCCCAGGGACATGGGCTTGTCCCCCACATGGGCTCACAACACTCAGCACAGAGCCTTCTTGGGTTTCTCTCTTTCCCTCCCTCTCTCTCTCTCTCTTTCCTACTCTCCCTCTCTCTCCCCCTCTCTCAAATTAAAAAAAAAAAAAAAAAAAAAAGCCAGCTAGGGGCATTTGGGTGACTCAGTCAGTTAAGCGTCCAACTTCAGCTCAGGTCATGATCTCAGTTCATGGGTTCAAGCCCCACATCAGGCCCGCTGCTATCAGTGCAAAGCCTGCTTCAGATTCTCTGCCCCTCCCATGTTCTCTCTGTCTCTCTCTCCAAAATAAACATTAAAACAAATTTTCTTTAAAGCTGGGTAACTTTGAACTCTGAACAACCTGGGTGGAGAGGTCTCAGCCCACCCAAGCCTCCTCTGCAGCTCCCAAGAGCTCAGAGTCAGACTCTCTCGAGAAAAATCAAGGATGCAAAACTCTCTCTTCAGGTCAGCTTCCACTCACGCTGCCCACAAAAATGAAAGAGCCACCAAGGAGAAGGCTGGGCCTCCAATCCTCTGCCAAAACCAGAGCCTCACCAGAACTCCCAGCAGCTGCGGGCTTCTAAGCCCAGGTGTCACCTAGCTCACAGCTCCAGCTGGGCAGCAAGTGGAGATCCCAGGGCAGGGGTCCCCAAGACAAGTGTGCCCCGGGCCTCTGAGGACACCTGGCACTAGGGAGGAGGGGAGAATGATGTGGGGAGGGGCTCCCACAGCACAGACGTGGCCTGTATGGACTCACACTGACCCCGTGACCTTACTCTGCAGGCTTTTTAGAGGATGCATTCCTGAGGCCTCAGCTCACCCCTGCTGAACAGGCAAGTTATCAGAAACCTTATCATTATTATTATTATTATTACCTGGAAGTCTATACTTTATACTAGGGTTCACTCTCTGTGTTGTACGTGCTGCGGACTTGGACAAAGGCATGATGTCATCTGTCCATCATTACAGTGTCATACAGAAGAGCTGCATAGACCTAAAAACCTCCTCTTTTCATCACTCCACCCACTCATGCTTCCTCCCCTGTTTCCCTGCAAAAGGAGCCTCCAGAAACAAAGCCAGAGGGTTCAATGATTTGCCCATGATCACAGAGCAAGACAGACAGAGCCTAAACATCTCCTGGCCTCTAGCCCAGGCCACCCACTGGGCACTGCTGGCCTTCTCTTCCTCTCTCCCATACATTTCAGGACATGCTGGAACTTTCCATGTGTTTCCATCCTCCCTCAACATTGCTTAGCCAACACGCGCGTGCGCGCACGCACGCACGCACGCACACACACACACACACACCCTCTGCACAGCTCACCATGAGGCCTTGCTGGACATCCAGCAGCAGCGTATGTACCTCCTCCAGGAACTTCCAGGATGGGTGGCCCTCTAGCAACACTTCCTGCACCGACTCAGTAGCACTGAGGCTCACCCAGACCCACAGATATCGCAGCTCCTGCTGGCTGACCCGAGCCCTCTGCTGTGGGGACAGGAGAAATCGTTGAAGCCCTTAGACTTGGGCCTCTGGACCCTCCCCACCACTGCTCTGACCACCCACCACCCAACTTGTGCCCACAAAGAGAGCAGACCACGGGCATCCACTGTGGATGGGAGCAACCGTGGGCCTGAGCCAAGGGCAGGCTTGCTTGTGGGGCTGGAAAGGGCCCCAGGCAACACGACCTGCCAAGAGCAATGTGCCTCTCAGGCTGGGCCCACGGCGTGTCCCTTGAGGCAAGGGTCTCCCAGCCCAGGAGGGGTTTCTCACCAGCCTGGTGATGTTGGCCATTCTGAGCACCCCCTCATAAGGCACGCTGACCCTGTAGTTGATGGGGAAGTAGTGTTTCTGGGGAAGTACAAGAACAAACCATGAGGTCAGAGTCACAAAAGGCTCAAACAGCCTCCCCCAGCTCCCAGACAATTTGGTGCAGGAGTTGAGGACCAAGGACCAGGCCTTTGATAGCAAAGGTAGCCTTCTATGAAGAATATGCACTTGGGGGGTGCCTGGTTGGCTCAGCTGGTTGGGTGTCCAACTTCGGCTCAGGTCATGATCTCACGGTTCATGAGTCTGAGCCCTGCATTGGGCACTGTGCTGACAGCCCAGAGCCTGGAGCCTGCCTCATATTCTCTGTCTCCCTCTCTCTCTGGCCCTCCCCTGCTCACATTCTGTGATTCTCTCTCAAAAAAACCCAAACATTTAAAAAAATGTTTTTAATGTTTTATTTATTTCTGAGAGAGAGAGCACCCAGCTTTTGTTCAGGTCATGATCTTGTGGTTCATGAGTTCGAGCCCTCCATTGGGCTCTGTGCTGACAGGACCTTTCCTCAGATTCTGTGTTTCCCTCTCTCTCTGCCTCTCCCCTGCTCATGCTCTGTCTCTCTCTCAGAAATAAACATTTTTTAAAAAGAAATTGCTCTAAACTTACTATGGTGCTGCTTGCACTGTTCTGGCAATATACTAAAACCACTGACCATATGCTTACACAGGTGAATAGCATGATATGTGAGTTATAGCTCAGGAAAGCTGTCAGAGGGGAAGAAAAAAAAAAAAAAAAAAAAAGCCTTTCAGAGCCACAGTGCCACGTGGGCTTCTCTGCCCTACACAGAGCCGCGCATTCCAACCTCTAGGTCCTTATGTGCCCTGCGAATATCCAGTGCCTGGAGTTCCCCCAAGGCCTCCTGGAACCCATTTCCTGAGTGACAGGGTGAGTGTCACCTGGAGATGGGATCAAAGGTGAGATCAAGTAGCAGAAGCAGGAGGTCCCCAGGAACAGCTGGCAGGAAAGGGGACAGTAAGTGTGGACCAGGTACCCTGATGTGTGTGGGGGAGAAAGCTGGAGAAAGGGGCCACGGTCAGCTCAGGGCTAAGGCCCCAGACGTCCTACACCCCGTGGGGCCAGGAGTTTGGGAAGGGGAACACAGTGGGGGGGCGGGGGGGGATTCACAGTTACCATGTACTGAAGGCGGTTCCTGTACTGCAGCTTGTCCCGAAGAAAGCCGGTGACTGCGCACTCGTCACTCTGGGTCAAGGGCCACATCTCCAAATCCTCGTTCCCCAAGGCCATGCCAAGGAGGATCCCGAGATCTGTGGACCATGCACAACAGGAACATGGGAGTACCCTGCCCTGCCTGTGCAAAGCTGTGCACATCTGCCCTCCCTCTTCCCCGTCACAGGAGGGACAGGGGCACAGAGCCCCGAGGAGGCCTTCCCACCACCGGGGATGTTTCCCCTGGGGCCCAGGCTCAGACAGCAAGGCCAAGCAAGCATGAGCAGTCTGGCTGGTAAACCCCTACCCTTAGCCAGCAGAGCCCCCCACCTGCCACACCCTGAGGTTGGTGTCCAGTCTCCTCCCCACTCCTGCCCCTTGGGAAACCACCCCCTACACCATTTAGGGCTGATGTGTCCTCAAAGTCTACGTCCACATTTCCATCTGGGAATTCAGGAGATGTGGACTTTCTAGCTCCAGCTCCACAAATGACTCTTGGGTGACCAGAACCAATTTCCTCTCTGCTCTAACTGACCTCGGCATCCCTCTCAGAGGTACAAATAACTACAGCCCTTCCAGTTTGCCCATTCTGAAAAGCAAGCAAATCAGGCTGTTTCTTTTCCCTGCCAGCAAACAAGCTGCTGTCTCATGAACATTACCAGCCTTTACCACTAGGTGACACTGTGACTTCAAAAACAGCTTTTCTGATCCCCAGAATTGAATACGCTTACAAAAAATAGCTGAGAGGGGCATCTAGGTGGCTCAGTCAGTTAAACTTCTGACTCTTGGTTCCTGCTCTGGTCATGACCTCATGGTTTGTGAGTTTGAGACCGGCATTGGGCTCCACACTGATGGTGCAGGGTCAGCTTGGGATTCTCACTCCCTCTCTTCGCTCCCCCCCCACCCCCCCACACACTTAATCAACAAAAAAAATCTGAGAATTTGCAAAAAATATGAACAACAGTCATACTGATCAGAGCAGAAAGGAAACACAGAGGAGCAGGAGATGTATCCAAAACATCAAACTCATCAAAAAAGGTAAAGAAATACATACTAAAACAATCAGGTGCCATGTTTCACCTATCAAAATGGAAAGTGGGTTTTTTAAATTTCATTTTAATAAAACTTGGTGCTGGCAAAGCAGTGAGGTAGGTCTCTTATCCTGGAAAGCAATTTGGCAATTTTATTATTAGTGAACTTAATAATGTCCACACCCTTTGACCCATTAAACTCATTTCTAGGGATAAAGGTGAAGAAAACAAAAAAAGAGACCCATCACCAAAAGATTTGTGGACAAAGCCTCCCATTGCCGTACTCTGTTATAATAGTGAAAATCTGTGAATGGCCCAGATGTTCATTAATGAATGGAGCAAATAAAAACCACATTGTCAGGGAACCTGGGTGGCTCAGTCAGTTGAGCCTCTGACTCTTGGCTTCGGCTCAGATCATGATCCCAGTGTCATGGGATCAAGACCCTAGTCAGGCTCTGGGCTCAGCCAGCACCCTGCTTGGGATTCTCTCTCTCTCCCTCTGCTCCTCTCCCTCATGCACACATACTCTCTCTCTTCTCTTTCTCTAAAATAAATAAGATGAAAAAAACCACATTGTCAAAGAATGTTTATGATATGCTTATGTGATAAAAATATATATACTTGGGGCGCCTGGGTGGCTTAGTCGGTTAAGCGTCCGACTTTCGCTTAGGTCATGATCTCGCGGTTCGTGGGTTCGAGCCCCGCATCGGGCTCTGTGCTGACTGCCAGCTCAGAGCCTGGAGCCTGGATCAGTCTGTGACTCCCTCTCTCTCTGACCCTCCCCTGCTCACACTGTCTCTGTCTCTCTCTCTCTCCTAGAAATAAATAAAAATTAAAAATATATATATATATATATATATACTCATGATATGCTTAGTAAAATCTTAAAGCATGACTAAAGGCACCTCCTCTGGGTGTCACAGCATGTGAATTACGTTCATTACATACACATGTGCGTACAGAGGAACTGCAGTGGACGTGTAGTGGAAGGCAATGTATCAAATCTCTATGGAAGATTTTTATCTTCTTTATATTTTGTAGGACATATTTTATATTCTACAATCAATACATTATTGTTATAGTCAAAAGCAATAATTTTTTTCTTTTTTCCCTCCAAAATAGCCAGGTTTGACACACCGCTGGTCACGAGTAGGAATTACTGATTGGACCTTCCCTACTCACCTCCCTGGAACTTAGGGAGACTTTTTTTTTTTTTAAGTTATTTATTGAGAGAGAGAGAGAGTGAGGGAGAGAGAGACAGCACAGGGGAGGGACAGGGAGAGAGGGAGAGAGAAAATCCCAAGCAAGCGCCACACTGTCAGCAAGGAGCCAGATGTGAGGCTCCAAATCACAAACTGTGAGATCAATGACCTGAGCAGAAATTATTGGACCCTTAACGGACTGAGCCACCCAGGAGCCCCAGGGAGACTTTTGTTCTTGATCCCTCACCGGCCTAGGCCTGCTTATTGTCACTTACTCTCCTCAGTCCTGCTGCAAATGCCTGTGCTCCAGCTGGGCCCTCACCAGGAGCATCCTGGGTGGACTCAAGCCCCATGCCCAAGGTGGGCTACAGTCCACCAGCGCCTCCTCTCACGGAAATCTGCCAACCGCATTTTCTCAAGGTGGCAAATTTGCAACACACCTTGCATTTGCTATCTCTGCCTCTTCCAAAGTGCTTGACCCGATATTTGGACGAAGGAACAGATCAACACACTCTGAATGGGTGCGTCTGTGCGCATGCTGTCTCACCTCTAAACCATGAAGCCCCTCAGCTGAGGACCCCTGCACATCAAGATCATTCCTGGTTCCCAGATTTTGCTCACACTTTGCCCCTGCCCTGGGTACCCTCTCACACGGCAGACCTCGTTCAAGGTCTCACCATGACGCCATCCTCTCCCAGCTCTCCCCTGCCTGCACCAGCCCCCGCAATCTCTGAGTCTAGCACCATCTGTCCGACTCACTCGCTGTCTTGACCAGACAGCTTGGCCCCTAGTATGTGAACACCACATGATCTCATTTACTGAGCACTTTGGGGGTTCAGCTTGAGCAAGGAATCAGGAACATACACCTGCATTTTCTGGAAAGCTAGCTAAGCTCCAGAGTGTCTGATTCAGCAGGTCTGGGGTGGGCCCATTGAATTTGTATTTCTAACAAGTTCCAAGATGCTGTTGCTGTCGGTCTGGGGACTGCACTTTGAGGACCACTGACCTCCAGGGACGGTTGCAAACTGGTGTCCCAACGGCCACATCTGGTTCACAGAGTTTTCACCTAAAAATCTGATTTTGTATCTTGTCTTTAAAAATCAGTATCTGTCCACACCTGGTCCTCTTTCTCGTGTGGCAGTCACCCATGACTGCTCACTCTACGTTGGAAATCCTACCCTAGCTGCCCTTACCTGTGTCCTGGTCTGGGGTCTCTGGGGCCTGCCACCTGTGGGCTCCAAGGAGGGACTGAGTCCTAGAAAAGCACTGTGCCACCCTGGCACGCATGGGCGGCACCAGAAACCCTGTCCTTGGATAATCTGCCTTCCCCCAGACTCAGACTTCCTTTAGATCTGCAGATTGACCACCATTTCCAAATTTAAGCCTCTTTTCTGCAGCTTCCACCCTGAGAAACAGGCCAGCAAACCGGGACAGCATGGCCGTAGACTCGCCGCTGCTCTGCACCCCCAAGGGCCCCAAAGCCAACGCAACCCTGTCCCTGCAAGGGTGTCATTCTTGCCCCCACAAGACAGAAGAGGAGGCTGAAGAAAGAGCAAGTGAGGAAGGAGCTCCCTTCCTGGGTCCCTGGCTGGGAGGGGGAGGGGCTACACTTCTCCTGAGGACAGTCCCTTGTGCAGGGACAAATGAGGACCATCCACCACCACCACCCCCAAAAACAAAATGGGAACCTGCGGAGGGAGTTGAATAGTACCCCCCCCCAAAGTTCTTGTTCACTTAGAACTTCAGATGTGACCTTATTTGGAAATGGGGTCATTACAGATAAAAGGCCCACCTTGAATGCAATGGCTGGTGTCCTTCTAAGAGGAGAGAACGGAGACATGTAGAGGGAAAGGCCATGAGAAGACAGACACAGACTAGGGTGATACAACCACAAAAGGCGGCATGCCAGGAGCCACCAGAAGCAGGAAGAGGCGGAAAGGAGCTTTGGAAGAGGCGTGGCCCCGCCCACACCTTAATTTTAGACTTCTGGCCTCCAGACCGGGGACAGAATCAGTTTCTGTTTTAAGTCACTAAGCTACAACAGCCCATCTTTCTCCAACACCCTCCAGCATCCTTCTATCTACAAGCCCTGATCTGCACCCCTCCCTCCCTCCCACCCCACAGCTAATCCCTGCCAAGGCCATGCCTTCCATTCCTACGCCATCTCACAAACAAGACCATCATCACTTCCTGCCCAGAAGGTTGCGACAGCAGACACAGACTGATCTTCCGAAAGCAGAGTAACTCCCAGTCACAATCCCACCCCCAGATTTTAAATCTTCCAAGGCCCCCTGCTGTCTGATTTTCAAGGCCTCCGTCATCTGAGCCCAAACTGGCTTTCCAGCCCAGCCTCTCACAGTCCCACCTGCTGAACCTTTGCTCACACTGTTCCCTCTACCTGGGACCCTGTCCTCACCTTCCCACCTCTACCTGTGTGAACACTGTCCATTTCTGAAACCATTTCAAGTGGCACCTCACCCATACTGCTCCTCTTGCTCCTCACGACCTGGAAAGTTCCAGAACACTGGGTCTAAGTCTTGCTCCCTGTTCTGAATGCCCTGAACTTTTGCAGTATCCTGCAAGGGCCAGGCTGGATCCCTTGCAGGATCAAATCCCGGACCTCATCTGGGAGTTCCTAGCACCTAACTCCATGCCAGGCATTGGAGAGAGGGGCGCAAGCCAGCCTGGGTCCTTGTTGCCATGACAGTAACTCTCCAGGGGGCATGTGGGAGGCACCAGAAAAATGTGTTGAATTTCAGTCAATTCAATTCAGTCTTGGAGTCTGAAGGGATCTTGGTCTGGCCTCCCACCAGTAGGAGAGGCTTGAGGGCTTTCTAGACGCTTTCTGTCCTCATTTCAACTTATTTTTTCTTTTTACCTACAACACTGTTCTCTGTCTTTTAATTTTATTCTATTATGGAGAGGGGCAGAGGAAACAGGCTGCCTTCTCAAGCACCTGGCGCCACTTCTCCCACGTGTTTTGTTGCCCAGACACTTTCACAAGCTTCCACCCCCGGCTGGCCACACCCAGGGAGGCCAGAAATCCTCTCTGCCACTGCTGTGCCCACCCCCCATACACAGCAGCACCAATGAACCTAAGAAGGTAACGCTGCCACTTGCCCCCATTGCCTCCCCCTTTCCCTTGACCACCCACTGATGGTGCCCACCCAGCCTTGGACTTGTACCCACCGTGTGGGTCTGAGCTGGGGTCAGCTAGAGAAAGGGCAGAGGGCGGCCACGGGAGTCCCAAGGCTGTTCGTCTGGGAAGCATCGCAACTTCTCAGCAGCAAGAATGGCCCCGTTGCCATGGTTACAGCAGAGCCAGGCTCTGGGCCAAGGCCTCCCGGGGCAGTCTCCAAGGACTCCCCCACCCCCACCCCAGTACTCACAGTGCAGCCAGGCGAATCCCCGGGGCATGGTGGTGCGCCGTGTCCCCCAGAGAGCAGAGGCGGTATCCCCAGCAGTGTGTCTATCCACAAAGGCCCAAGTGGGGCCTACATGGCCTCAGGTCAGCAAAGGTGGCCCAAAGCTGGGGAAGGGTTGACCACAGAAGAGCAGCCCGGCAGGGGGCGGCAGGTACTCCTGGGGCAGCTCCTGTCCCTATCTGCCTGGCAGTGTGGAGAGCAGCCGGGGGGCGGCAGCTGCAAGTCCCATGGCAGCCAGGACCTGCCCTGAGACAGTGGCCCCGGGGTCTTTCCCTCTAGAGCAGGAGGAGAGAGTCCCCAGCAGGCCCCTTGGAATCTGGGGCTGGGTTGTGCTTTCTCTGATTTCTCCGTCTGCAGCTGCTCAATGTGAAATCTGGCTCTGGAAAGAGAAAGGAGGAGAGAAACTGATTATGTAAGAGCAGTGCTGCCACTCAGCCATCAGCCGCAGGCACCAGGAGTCTATGTGTGTGCTGTACCCACCGCCTGGCAGGGACCCCCGGGAATGACTGGAGGCGCACAGCCCAGCCCTGGAGACTGGCTACTCTGGGAAACAGGCTCACACACAAGAAATGACTTCAGAACATCCCAAGGGCAGCACCGGCCAGGGAGTGAGTTCCTGAGTTACGATGACACCAGTTGGCAGCCAAGGGCCTGAACAAAAGCAGGACCAGGGAATGAAAGGCCAAGTGGTTAAATCAAGGGAGCTTCCTGAAGGAGGTGATGCTGCATTCAAGTAAAGTACCTCAGGCTACTCAGGCGACCAGGAGGTTAAAACAACAGAGCATTAATCCCTCTTTTTACATGCAGGTTTAGTCCCAATCTCCTGTTCCCCAAATCCTTGCCTCCCTCTTAATAGGGTTGCTAGATGAAACACCAGGTAGCCAGTTAAACTTGAATTTGACATAACAGCACATATTTTTCTTAGGATAATTATGCCACAAATACTTTTTAGTGTAAGTATGTCCCAAATATTGCATGGTACACACTTATATTTTAAAAAATCATTGTTATTTAATGATTTAATGATTCAATGTCATTTAATTAAACAATGAATTATTTAATTCCAAATTAAGCAAAAGTCCTGTATTTTTTTCCAGTTTATTTATTTTGAGAGAAAGTGTTTCCATGTGTGTGCAAGTGGGGGATGGGCAGAGAGAGAGGGAGAGAGAGAATCCCAAGGAGGCTCCGTGCTGTCAGTGCAGAGCCTAATGCAGGTCTCGATCCCATGACCCTGAGATCATGATCTGAGATGAAATCAAGACTCAGATGTTTAACTGACTGAGCCACCCAGAAGTCCTGTATTCTCATTTGCTAAATTTAGCAACCCTGTGATAATCACGGGATTGTGCTACCTGAGTGCTTGCCGTGAGCTAGGCCCATGGCTTGGGTTTTTATATTTACTGAATCCTCACAATAATCTTGCCAGGCTATAAAAATCTCATTTATATCAATGAAGAAATCAAGGTACAGAAAGGTTAGGACGCTTGTACAAGGTCACACAGCTTGTAAGCAGTGGACAGGAATTCAAACCCAGGCCACTGGTGGCCACTCCCACCAGCTGACATCCACACAACCACTCGCTCAGACACCCTTACACCCTTACCGGCTGAGCCTGGGGCTCTTGCACAGTCATCTCTATCACTCACTGGACTCTGAGATACAGGCTCTCGTCCCCATTTTGCAGATGAGTAAATAGGTTCTGAGAAACTGAGCTGGACAGTGACAGAGGCAGCTCTGAAATTCAGAGAAATTCTTAAATTCTCTGACTCTGTTCTGTTCCAAACCCTTGCCCTCCCTGTTCGGTCTGGAGAAACAGTCACAGGTTAATGGCAGGAGGAAAAAGCAGTATGATGTGGTCTTCTCCATAGTGGCATCCATCTCCACAGAACGTACCAGAAGTGCTGGCCCTTATCCTCAGAGGCTCCCCACAGACAGGCAAGGCCTCATACAAAGAATACGCGTGTTCCCCCCTCCATGAACACTAACCTAACTGAAACCTTTTGTTGTCGTTTTTGTTTTTAAGGTTGTGGAGATATAATGTATATACAGTACAATTCACTTTTTCAGTGTACAATTTTATGAGTTTTGACATATTCAGAGTTACCTGCTACAATAATCAAGACATAAAACATTTCCAGCTATGCAGAAAATTCCTTCCGGCTACTCCGTAGTCAGCCCTTCCTCCCACCCCCAGCCCCATGGAACAGCTCATCCGTGTTGCTGCAGTTCTGCCTTTTCCAGAATGCCAGATAGACACCATGTGCCCTTTTGTGCCGAGCTCCTTTCACCCAGCCGACTGCATCTGGGGTTCAGCCAGGTTGTCGGGCATGTTAGTGGGCTGCTCCTTCTCCTTGCAGAGTAGTATTCCATTGTACGGACACTAGTCAAAAGACATCTAAGTTGTTTCCAGGTTTGGATGATAACAAAGCTATTACCAGCCTCTGCATACAGGTGGTTTTGTTTTTTACGTTTATTTATCAGAGAGAGAGCAGGACAGGGGCAGAGAGAGAAGGAGAGAGAGAATCCCATGTAGGCTCTGCATGGGGCTTGAACCCATGAGCCATGAGATCATGACCTGAGCTGAAGTCTGATCAGCTCAACTGACTGAACCACCCTGGCACCCCATACAGATTTTGGTGTGGACGGAAGTTTCCACTTGTCCTGGGCCTGTCTGTCTGGGCTTGTGCTGCACAGCGGTTTCCTGTTCCCGCCAGCTGGGCCCTTCCCTCGGCCCAGCACTCCCTCACATGCATGCACCCCAGAATCAGGCTCTGTCCACGCCCTGCCACAGTCTCTAGGCAGCTTCCTCACTCAAAAATCTCCCAGAAAAGCCTTCAGTACTGAACCCCACCACACATCTAAGACCCCCAGACCCTGACAGAGAACCCAAGAAAGTAAGAAACGGGATCCTGGTCACCTTCATACCACACCACAGAGTCCTAACCCTGGGCACCTTCTGTGACCTCACTCTTTGAGCCCCACTGAAATAGAGAAATTGAGTGAAAACCAAAGAGGACACACAGCGGAGTTACCTGATGACATACAGGAGCTAGAGTGGGGATGGTGGCCCAGAGGGACCACCCACAGAGACGTGGGAACAGGGCAAAGAGGCCAGGCCAGTGGCCTGACAGCAGTCTGCCCAAGAATGGCCTTCCCCACACCTGAGAGGGCCCAGGGCGCCTCTCTCTCCCTGTCCCTCTCTCATGGGGGAAGGTGAACAGTTTGAGAATGTGCCTCTTCCAAGCCACTCCCAGTCGACCCCACAGCTTTCAGCAGTCATTACAAAGCTCACAAGGGCAAGTTATGCAAGAAAGTAAAACTGGGGTATTCTACATAGTTCAGTTGTGATTTTATTTTTAAAAATATAGGGGCGCCTGGGTGGCTTAGTCGGTTAAGCATCCAACTTTCGCTTAGGTCATGATCTCGCGGTTCATGGGTTCGAGCCCCGCGTCGGGCTCTGTGCTGACTGCCAGCTCAGAGCCTGGAGCCTATTTCAGAGTCTGTATCTCCCTCTCTCTCTGACCCTCCCCTGCTCACGCTCTCTCTCTCTCCTAGAAATAAAATAAAAATAATAATAATAATCACATTACCATTATTGCACATTCCCTAATCAATAATTCCTTATATCATCTAATATAGAACCCATGTCCAACTTGCCCTGGTTGTTTTTAAAGTGTCTTTTTTTAAGTTCCTTTGTTTGAATCGAGAGCCTAACAAGGTCCATTGATTGATGTGTCTCTACACCTTTTTTCCTTTTTTTTTTTAGTATTAAGATATAATCCACATGCCCTAAAATTTGCTATTTTAAAGTGTATAATTCAGTGGGATTCTTTTTTTAGTAGATTTACAAAGTTGTGCAACAATCGCCCACAATCTAATTCCAGAACATTTTCATCACCCCAAAAATAAACTGTATTCATTACCAGTTACTGTGTATTTCCTGCCCTGCTTCCCCCCTGCCCAGTCCCTGGGAACCACTAATCTGCTTTTAGTCTCCATGGATTTGCCTCCTCTGGACATTTCCTATCAATGGAGTCATATAGTATGTGGTCCTTTATGACTGGCTTCTTTCACTTAGTGCAATGTTTTATGGGTTCATTCATCTTGTACCATATGATACACTGAATGTTGTCCCCCTAAATTCATATGTTGAAGCCCTAGTCCCATATGTGAGGGTATATGAGATGGGACTTGTGGGAGGTAATTAAGGTAATTGGGAGGTAGATCAGGGTTAGACGAGGTCATGAGGTGGGATCTCACGATGGGATTTGTGTCTTTTTAAGAAGAGATACCAGGAACATCCATCTGACTTCGGCTCAGGTCATGACCTCACGGTTCATGAGTTCGGGCCCTGCATCCGGCTCTCTGCTGTCAGCATGGAGCCTGCTTCAGATCCTCTGTGCCCCTCTTTTTCTGTCCCTCCCCCACTCATTCTGTCTTTCTTCCTCTCTCTCCCAAAATAAACAAACTTTAAACAGTAAGAAGAAGAGACACCAAAGAAGTTTTCTCATAGTCTGTGTGTGCCCCCAGAGGAAGATGTGTGAGTACACAAGAAGGCAACCACCTGCCCCATTCTTGGGGCGCCTGGGTAGCTCAGTCGGTCAAGTGTCCAACTTCGTGTCAGGTCACGATCTCATGGTTCAAGCCCCGCGTTGGGCTCTGTGCTGACAGCGCTGAGTCTTGAGCCTGCTTCGGATTCTGTGTATCGCTCTCTCTCTCTACCCATCCCCTGCTCACGCTCTGTTTCTCCCTCTCAAAAATAAGCAAACATTAAAAAAAATTTTTTTTAAGAAACCAACCAGTCTGACACCCTGATCTCAGACTTCAGCCTCCAGAAGCATGAGCAGTACATTTCTGTTCTTTAAGCCACCCAATCTATGGCATTTTATTATAACAGCCCAAGCAGGCTAAGACATGGCATTTATCAGTACTTCATTCCTTCAAAAATTTTTTAAGGTTTTATTTTTAAGTCATCTCTACACTCAACCTGGGGCTCAAACTTACAACCCCAAGATCGTCACAAGTTCCACCAACTGGACCAGCGAGGCGCCCCTCCCTTTTATTTTTTTTTTTTTTAAGGGTCAAAACAGTTTAATCTCTTGTTTTTCCTTTTTAAAGAGGATTTTATTTTATTATAATTTTTAATGTTTATTTACTTTAAGAGAGAGAGAGAGACCAAATACAAGTGGGGGAAGGGCAGAGAGAGGGTGAGGGAGAGAAAGAATCCCAAGCAGGCTCCATGCTCGATCTTATGAACCGTGAGATCATGACCCGAGCCAAAATCCAGAGTCAATTGTTTAATCAATTGAGCCATCAAGGTGCCCCAAGAGGATTTTATTATATAATTTTTTCAAGTAGGCTCAACACCCAGTGTGGGGC